AGTGGCTTCGGTGGAGAGATATGTATGCCGCCGATGTTAACCATGTTGTCCATTGTTGGAGCAGCGGCCGCTAAGGGCGTGTAGTCATTGATGAATATGGCAGAGAGATTCTTTTCCATAGCTGAAGCACTAGGGAACTTAACTGCCAGAAAGTAGAGAATTAAGTCATAAAGGCTATGAATTTACATCAAAGAGTCATTAAATGTTCATAAAAATATGTCCAATTCTTACTTGGTAAATGTCCAAAGTATTTCTGCACAAGTTTATCCACAACTGGAAAATAACTAAGTTCACGATGTAAATCAAATGCAAGCGAGTTGAATGTATTTTGAGCGCGTTCCCAAAAGCTCATGTGGTCACTTAGTTCCAGCATACCATTAGGCACATAAGACCAAGGCGAAATAATGCCGAACATCTGACTCATGTAAAGGTTCTTGGCAAATGTGGCAGAGCTGATAACAGGTACTTTATAAATATGAGCCAAGGCAAGAAAGACTTCTTGCTGAAACTGTTCTACCAACAGCAAATCGAAGACACCCTCAGTTTGTTTGGCATTTATAATAGCCTGCACTTTCGATTGTTTTAGCGCATGTTCGCTAGTTTCAACAGCCAGAGAGTTTACCAATTTTAAATAAAGCAATAAACTAGCTTCTAATTCGTAGTTTGATTTTACTCCGGCTTTGCTATTAACTGCAACGAATGATAAGTAAATGCACTGCAGCAATATGTGTTTGGTCACGGCATTAAAAAAAAAACTCACTATGCTTCCAGGAATCGAACTCCGGCTCAATGAGTATCTCAGTATAGTTGCTCCCCAGTTTGAGTGGCTCTAGTGTGCGCGCAGTGATCATGGTGACCTAATGATGGATTAATATGGTTAATGGGGTTAGCGTCATATAAATGCTGTGTGAGCTCATGACTGCTTTTACCTGATGGCCATGTTTCACCAGCTCGCTAATAACGGTTTGATGCATCTGGTAGTGACTTCTGGCCGGAAATATGAAAACTGCAAGTATTTTAGCGGCATCCGTAGTAGGTGCTTGAGACAGCAGTCCAGCCAATGCCAAGAGACCTATGACAATTTTTGAGACCTAAAAGGTTTAGTCAAGGTGAGTTTATAATAAAGGCTTATTGTAGAAGCGTCTATAATAAAATATGCCAGCAGAATTGCGTTTGTAAATGGTCTCAGCTGTGAAACTTTAAAAATTTTCGGTTGTTTTAATTCGAAAGCTCATATACCCTACAAACCACAGTTCCTAAAATCTTAATTAAATCTTTAAGAGTGTCGGAAGTTTGTTTCGAATTCGTGGTTGACACGAACTTGTAAGGAAATTTATGTATGATTGCTTAAAGAAAATTCCAAAAAAAGTCTTCACATCGCAGCATTATTTTCATTACTTTACAGATTTTCTTCTGCAACTTCGTAAAAGAATCGGAGTGTGGACAGTACCTTTAATTTTAGAAAATTAGGCAATCAATCGGAAAGAGTAGTAATGATTTCTTTTCGAATTCTTCAAGATTTCCATACTATTCAGAAGTAAAAATCAAAAATTAATTTTATTGGCTAAATGTTTTCATTAAAAATTATGGTAAGTTAGATTCGAAAGTTTTCGTTGCGATTTTACACTTCGCCTGAGCTTAGGGATGAAACGACACTACAAAGGTATCTATACTTTTACTTGCAAGTAGTATCGATACCAGAAAAAAATCAATAATTTTGGCTATGAAGGTATTCAGCATTAACTAAGATCAATTTTATTTTTTAAGTCAGAAGTTAATCATCCTGTGCTGTCGGCTTTCTTGTATACAAAATTTAAAATCCAAATATTTAAATGCGGTAGTTTCCGAAATGTGTTTGTATTACATGACCTGGTATAGTTTCACATACAATTGGAGTTATGGAGAGTATAAAAAAAAAAATAAATAATGATGGAATTCGATTAAAAAAATGTAAAAGTACTTCAGCAGTATATACATTTAAATATTAATGATATTCTAGTAGCTATGTTTTTAGGTAAATGCCGCAAATTAGAATTACTTTTCTATTTGACATCAACTTTTCTCCAGACGAGACGCAAATATGGCGTTTAAATTTTCATAGCTGGGCCTTACAGCCTGCCCCTTTTCTTCTTTTCTTCAATAACAGAACAAATCTCCCTTTCCTTTAGTATTTCGACTTTGAAGTCCACTCGCGGTTTTCGCTGGAAATTAAGCAGCCATTAAGAGCAGGAAGGTGTCGTAGTTATATTCATCGTCGTTGTCGTAATCGAATTCATATTCCTATACGTATTCGGTTGGTCTACGTGTTTACATTCAACTTCGTCTTCGTATTACACTTTGTATGCGCTCGAAGTGTTACCAATTAAAAAAGCTATAATTTTGTCTATTTTTTATTTATTAGAAAACATCACTTCATCATAAAGAGTAGTCAAATTTTTAGAAAAGTGTATTACTGTTCGATGTAAGCCGCCTTTATCGCGGCTAATTGCAGCATCGAAGCTGTCCTTCACACAGGCTGCACGCATATGGTCTTGTGGTACTTTGTGCAGAGCGTTGACTGTCTCATATTCTTTAGTTGATACTTTGGCATCCAGAAATTGTTGCGAATACATAAATGAGGCTGGGAAGCTTTTTTTTTATAAAAAAAAACGGGATTTCGGCAACATTATGCGCTGGTAGCGAATCTTATTGAAATGTTCAATGATTTCTGCCGAATTGTTTTCGTGCCCAAAGTAACAAAGCATCGTTTAAAATCTGTTCACGGTAGATTTGTTGATTTACCTTTAAGCCGTGTTCAATGCAAAATACCACCACAAAAGACCACATTCGTACTTACATGCTGTGTAGCATTCCTGAACAAACTCGATATCATTATTCTAGTATGACTAGTCTCAATGACGAAATGATGCTCTTAAAAAAAATAAAATAGACAAATTATAGCACTTTTTGTTGGTAACACTTCGAGCACCTATCCCTGTATTTATATGTATATACCCTGAGTTAAAACATAATCGTAAAAGTTTCATCACCATTCTTATTCAGCAGTAACAATGGTGCACATATGCTTTTCGAAACTAATTAATTTAACTTTCTTTAGCTTTGGCAGCTTGGGTCCACC